AAAGATATTTTTGAAAAAAAAAAAAAAAACCAGATGAATGACGTTGTTTTTTATTTTATTTCCCAAAAATAATTATAACCAAAATCTGGGGATGATCCTTAAAAAAAAAAAAAAAAGAAAAAATGTATGATTATATAATTTTATTTATTTTTATTTTTTTTTAATATTTATATTTATATCTTTTTTTTTGTTTTAATTTTTAAAAATACATAACAGAGAAAGAAATTACAATTTTTTTTTTTTGTTTTTTTTTTTTTTTTGTTTTTTTTTTTTTGTTTTTTGATTTTTTTGGTGGACTGAATTTAAAAATAATCGATCAATTAAAAAGATTCTTGTTACTTTTAAAAAAATTTAATTATTGTTATTATAATATCGATATTGATCAAATTGATATTGTTGTGGTGGAAAAGAATTTTGATACATATTGTTATATGGCTGTGATAGCGGTGAAGAGGGAGGGACTGATTTACGGTCCTTCAAATAATGTTGTTGGGGTGAAGAGGGTGATTGTTGTTGTTGTTGTTGAATCTGTTGTTGTTGTTGTTGTTGTTGAGGAGAGGGTAATGATTGCTGCTGTTGTTGTGATTGTTGTTCAAAATCAGCCTCATCATTTTCAAAAACATGATTATTTCCGTCATAGAGATGAGGATGAATATGACCTGCATTTTGGTATGAAATACTGTATGGATTTTGGTAAAAAGAATCATAGCCATGATATGCTTGATAGTACGAATGAGGTGGTACAGAAAAATAACTACCATCATCTATTTGTTGTTGTTCCTGTTGTTGAATCTGTTGTTGTTGGATTTGTTGTTGTTGTTGTTGTTGTTGTTGATTAGGAGGACCCCCACCATTAACATTATTATTACGTGATAACTGTAGACTATTGTTGTTTGATGGTGTACCATTTGTATTATTACCATTTGTAGTTGTAGTTGAATCACCACCAATATTAAAGTTACTAAACGATGAAATCATTTTATTCATGCCATTTACCGAGTTGTTTGGAATATTGGAGTTATTGGTACTCATAATACCATAGTGGTGTACGGCTGATAAAATATTTGGGGTGGATGAGGTTGATGAAGGGAGTGAGGATAATAATGGTGAATTATTTCCACTGCCACCATGATGATGATGGTGATGAGGATGAATATGTGACATACTATGGGGATCAACATAAAAGATTTGTTGTTGTTGCGTGCTGTTGTTGTTGTTGAATTAGCAGGTGATGAGGAATTGGGAGTGAGTGGTGTGGGTGATTAGTTTTTGCTTTTGATGATAATATTTTCTGTTATTAATCAATGTTTCCTTCCATCATCATGGGTTGGAATAACTCCACCTTTATAGTACTGTGCTTGTTGCTGAATCAAATATTGTGCTTGTGCTTGTTGTTGATGGACCTGTTGCTGTTGTTGATTTTTTCTAACAGGATCGCCAATATTCATCTAAAATTAAATTTAAAAAAAAAAAGAGAAAATTATATGTGAGTTTGATATTCATTAGAAAATTTGTTTTATGTTTGAATAATTACAGTTTTTCCCATGAATAATAGATTTGAATTTTTAACCTTCTCTATAGAACTTTCATTTTCAAAAGTAATAAAGCCATAGCCTTTTGATTTATTTGTGTTATAATCCATTATGATTTTACATTCCAAAACCGTTCCATAGCTTGAGAAATAGTTTTTTAATTGAGTTTCATTTGCCTATAATGGTGAATGAAAAGGAATTAGTAAAAATAAAAAAAAACAATAAAATTTAAATTTTAAAGATTAAATAATGATATTTACCCTCCAACTTATACCACCAACAAATATTTTTGGTTTTATTGTTGTATTGGTGATGGATGAGGAGGATGATGAAATTGATGATGATAATATTGATGCAGAGGAAGATGGTGATGATGTTGAGGAGTTTGATGGTGATGATGTACCATTGGTTGTAGTTGACCCTGCTGTTGCTGGTGGGGAATTATTATTTGGACCTATAGATGCCACATTATTATTGCTAGTTTCCAAATTATTATTACTATTATTTAAATTACCATTATTTGATATCCTATTTGATGATTTATTTAAATTTATATTGGTTGATGATGGTGGTGGTGGTGATGAAGATGCAGCTGTATTGGTAGCTGTTGAAACTGATGACATTTTTAATAAAAATAAAAAGATTTATAAAAATAAAGATCTAATTTGGTTTAAAAAAAAATAAAATAAAATAGATTAAAATTTAATATAATTTTAAAAAATATATATATATTTATATGTGAGAGAGTGTGTTTTAAAAAAAATAATAAAATTTAAGATGAGACAAGAAAAAAATTAAAAAAATTAATATATATTGTGTAAAAATTTATAATAATTTAAAAAAAATTTTTAATTTTTTTTAAAAAAAATTAAATTAAAATTGATTTATAAAAAAAAGAAAACAAAAAAATAAAAAAAAGGAATTAAATTTTTAAAAACATAATTTATAAATAATAAAAAGAAAAAAAAAAAAAAAAATAATAACTGTATAATAAATAAACAAATGAGAAAAAAAAATTATAACAAAGTTAACTTTTTTAAAAATATATATAAATATGTGTAATATATTTAATATATATGTATAAAGGTGTGTGTTTGGGTGGTAGTTATAATTGTTATAATTAAGAAAAGAAAAAAAAATTGTGTGTGTTTTTTTTTTGAATTTTTTTTTATTAAAATTAAAATTAATTTTTAAAATTTTTTTTTTTTTTTTCCAAAATATTTTTTATGATTATATTTATTGTTGGGTAATATTATACTCAATAAAAATCTAATGTGTAATGTGCTTTTTAGGTTAATTTTTGATATCATTAATAAAAAAAATATTATTTTGGTGATAGTTAAAAAAAAATTAGGTTTTTTTTAGTGTTTTTTTTGTGTGTGTTTGTTGTGTGTTGTGTACGTGTGTGTGTGTTGTGTGAATATATAATATATATCTAGGGGTGGTTTTTAAATAAATACATTAATAGATATTTTAATTGTGTGGATTTTATGAAAATATTATTTGATTGTAAAAACTATTCCATCAAAAAAAAATAAAACAAAAATAAAATAAAATTTTTACTTACTATTTTGGTTTTTTTTTTTTTTTTTTAAATTTTAATTTTAATTTATTTACAGTAATAATAATTATACAAAAAAAAAAAAAATAAAAAAAAGAATGAAAAAAATACATAAAGAGTAATTTTTTTCTTTTTTTTTTTTTTTTTTCTTTTTTTTTTTTAAATTGGATTATTTAATAGTTTGGAGGTTCAATAATAGTACCGGTAGTTGAAATCATTCTAGAGTCTAAAGAATTTGGAGTTTTTATATTACGTACTTTGATAAATTGAATTTTGATTTCAAAAGGACCTTCTTTTTTATCGGATTGGATCAAACCAATACCATCGATACCTTCTTTTTTAATTTCTTCTAAATTCATATCTACAACACCTTTGTAAACTCTAAAAAATTGTAAAAATGGCATATCTACAGTTTCCCACTGATCTGGTGAGGATGCGAAAATTGCTTTATACATTGTTTGTTTTTCTTGACTTCTTAATAATGCCAATGAATATGTTCTTTCATCTGATTTAACCCTAAATGAAATTCTATTAAACTTTTCTAAATCTAAATCTGTTAAATCAATTTTCTATAAATAAATAAAATGAAAAAATTAACAAACCATAAATTACAATATTTATCTTTTTCTTTTTAATTGCGTGTGTGTGTGTGAGTGCGTGTGTGAATGTGTGGGTGTTAAGTTTTTACCACATTATGTGTGAATAAATGTGTGTCGTGTGTCGAGTGGTTGAAGTGTGTAGAATTGTTGTTGTTATCATTGGTAGTTATTATTATTAATACTATTATTAATAGTGTTTAATTTCCTTTTAAATTTTAACATACTGTAAAAATACCAGCATAACCACTAGATTTAATTTTTAAATTATTTTCTGGTAATTTTTTAGATATAATACCTGAAAATACTAAACAATTATCTTCATCTATTTTCAATGATGCCTTAGTACTACCACCAATTTCTTGATCTGTTACTATTCTCCATTTTTTTAATTCATTATTATTATTTGCTTTATTTGAAAAAATTGAAAATTCACTAAAATCACCTGTAAATCTTTTTTTATTTAAAAAAACTAAAATATATTAATTTAATTACAAATCTTGAAAATTATTTATTTTATTACTATTATTTATTTACTTCTTGCAACTTTTTCTGTAAGAGTCATTATAATGATTAATAATAGTTTTTGGGGTATGTGAATCCAAACGAAAAATAAATAAAAATGAAAAAAAAAATTTTTTTTGAAAAATAAAAAATTAAAAAAATATTAAAAAAAAAAAAAAAAATAAAATAAAAAAAATTAAATAAAAATAATAATCAATCAGTTATCTGATTAATATTCCCAATTGGTGTTTTAAAATTTTTTAGTTTTTTTTATTATTATTACCATTAATAGTTTTAATATTTTTTTTTTTTTTTGTTTTTTTTTTTTATATTTTTTTTTAACCACTTTCATCAGAGTTCATAGCATCTTGATCATCACCACTTTCGTCAGAATCGAAATAACTACCTTCTAAATCACTGTCAAAAGATTCTTCTTTGTCTTCTTCTTCTTCTTCTTCGTCTTGCTTTAATAATTTTTTAATTGAATCAAAGTCATCATTTGAAACTTCACCCATAAAATTGTCTGAAATCTTCTTAAGATCTGGGGATACTTGTTGTTTACATTCTTCTAAAATTTTAATTAAACCTCTTGCCATTGGTACATTTTGAACAGTTTCTGTGAATAATGTGAGTGCATGACCTTTGTTACCTTGTCTACCAGTTCTACCAACTCTGTGAATATATTGTTCTAATGATGTTGGGAAATCATAGTTAATAACAAATCTTAAATTATTAATATGAATACCTCTACCAAGAATATCTGTTGCAACTATGATTGTAAGTTTACCAGATTTGAAATCATTGATAACTGCATCTCTTTCAATTTGCTTCATATCACCGTGAATACAACTACATTTATATTTTCTTCCTGTATATGATACACATAATTTATCAATAATATTTAAAACTGGCATAGCTTGTTTAATAGTATTTACAAATACCTATATTAAAATTAAATAAATTATGTTAATATATGGTTGTTAATATGAAATAATATTTAAAATAATAATAATAAACTTACTAAAATTAAACTTCTATTTCTTAAATTTAATTCTTTATCCATAATTGATTTAAGGAAATTTGTCAAGTATTGAGGTCTATCTAAATCTACAATTGGTTTAACAACTTGTTTAACATTTTTAGAAACGATTGCTGAGCTTTCTTGATTTGCACTACTTGATTTAACTCTGATCTTTAATGGATTGTTTAACCATTTTTTAGCGGCCTCTTGCATAGCATGTGGAAAAGTGGCACTAAACATTAAAGTTTGACGATCTGGTCTAATTTGTTCGGAAATTTTTTGTAATTGATCACCAAAACCTAATTGAAGCATTCTATCGGCTTCATCAAAGACTAACATACCGACCCCACCTAATAAACCAACAATATCTTCAGATCTTTGAATAAGATCAACTAAACGACCTGGTGTAGCAATAACGATTTCATTGTGTTCTTGGCTAAGGATTTCTTTTTGTTGTTGAGCCTCAACACCACCATAAATTGCAACACTGTGAATATTGAATTTTGAACGAAGTGGTTTACAACTTGATTCTACTTGTTGTGCTAACTCTCTAGTTGGTACAATAATCAATACTAATGGACCCATATTTGAATTCTTGAAAAGGTTTGATTTCTTTTTCATTTCTTTCTTTTCTTCTTCGGTCATAGTTTGTCTTTTTGCTTTACGTAAACGCAAGTGTTCTAAAATATTTGGAATGGCTGGTATAAGATAACCGAGTGTCTTACCACTACCAGTTTGTGCAATTGAAAGAATATCTTGACCACTTAATATACCGGACCAACATTGTGATTGAACTGGAGTTGGTTGTGTGAACGATGAATATTTGTTACAAAGGAAATCTATAAACTTCTTCATTGATTTAGGAAGATCTGGATCATCAAAACTAAGAATTGGTCTTGGTACCTCTTGACCTTGATAGCTTGTTTCAACTTTAGCTTTAATTTTAATACGCTGATCACGAAGCTCCTCTTGTGTGATATTCTTTTGGGTATCCTTCCAATAACGCTTCTTTATTGGATCCATTTTTTTAAATGCTACCATTTTAGCTTCAACCAACTTCTTTTCTAATTTAAGTTTCTCTTTTTCTCTTTTAGATAACTTGGTTTTATTGATTGTCTCTTCTTCATCGTCTTCATCACGTGGTTCATAGTTTTTGTTGTGAGAGTTTCTATCCAATGCTGCGAATTCTTTTGTCATCTTGTTTTTCTTTAAATGATTCTTGAATTTTGCTACTTGTTCATCATTCATAAAATCGGTGCTACCAATATCGCTTGCATCGAATGTGAATATATTCTCTTGTGGTAATTCATCGTCGCTTCCTAAAATATCGTAGTTATCTAAATCATCACCATCGTCGTAAACATGGTCTCTAACACGCTTTAATGTATTCTCTTCAGACTTTTTATAATCTGCTGCTGAAATATCATCTACATCTTCTAATCTCTTGTTGGTTATCTTCTTTATAACTTTTTTCTTTTTGTCAAACTTCTCTTGTAATAAAAGTTTTTTATTTACTGTACTAAGTTGTTGTTTTTGTAATACTGGGTTTAAACTTGAACTGAGTAATTTCTCTTGTTTTCTTGCTTTAACTTTTCTAACTTTTTGTTGCGCTTTTTGTAAATTTTTTTGACCCTTTTTATTATTTTTATTTAATTTTAACCCTTTGCCCATTTTATTATAACAGAAAATTAAATTTTTATTTTAATTATTATTAAATTTATTATAATAATTTAAATAAAAAAACAAATAAATATATATATATGTTATAAATTAGATGAAACAAAATAATAATTATTTTTATAAAAATGGATTATTTCAAAACTTTTTTTTTCGTTTTTTTTTTTTATTTTTTTTTTTTTAAATTTTAATTTTTTTAATTTATTTATTTTTAATTTTTTAATTTTTTTAATTTATTGAATTTTATTTATTGATTTATATCACTTTTTTTATTATTTATTATGAAATCTAAAATTATAAAATCATTTAACGATATAGAATTATTAGACAGTATCAATGGAATAAATATCGATATTATTGAAAATAGAGCCAAGGCAATCCAAGATAATACTTCAGATAAAGAATCATGGAGATATAGATCATTTGATGGATTTTTAGGTGAAAATGAAACATTTAAAGAAAGATTAGAAAAAGATTGGAATTTATTAGAAAATTGGAACAAAGAAAATAATTTTACAATTAATCATATGACTTTATCAACAATATTAAAAGAAATAATTAATCAATGCGAACAAAATAGAAATGATTTAGGTTTTGGTCCAATGGCTCCAATCAAATTTAATTTAAATTTAAAAAAATTAAAAAAACAATCAATCGAATTTTCATTTTTAAATAATAATATAGATAATAATGATGATATAGAATTGTATATAACAAAAAATATTTTTAATGGATTTCAATATTCATTATTTTGGAACGAATCTTCAAAAAAAGAAAAATCATTTTGGAATACTAAATGGAATGTCGAATATAATGTGGTCAATGTCAAAACACAAAAACAAATTATAATTTCAGGAGATTCAAACGCAGGTATTATTCAATATATCGAATATCTTGGTTTTTATGAAGGTGATGAAAATAATCAATATAGAATTAACCCAATAAATTTAATTTTATTATTATTAAATAAATAAAAGTAATATATAATTTCACAAATTTAATTTAATTTTTTTTAGATTTTTATTTTTTTTTGGTTTTTTTTTTTTTCGTAATATTCAAATTTTTTTCTTTATATTAATATTATTTATTTTCAAAAAGAACAAAAATAAATACATATATAAAATGTTAAAACAAGGTACATCTGAAGATTTTATAAACGCAACTAAATTAAATTATGAAGAATGGGGTAGTGGATTAACTATGGACCAATATTTAGAAAGGGAAACTGTTTCAAAAAAATATGTATCAGGACACAGACCTTGGATTTTAGTGGATAAAGAAAATGAAAATCAAGTTTTAGCATCATGTGAAACATTTTCAAACGAATCACTTTATGCTTTTAAGGGCGATACTAAAATCTATAGAGGTATTTCAGAGTCTGTAGCTTCAGTTTTCATTGAACAGAAATACAGAGGCAAAGGTCTCTCAAGCCAATTAATGAAGCAACTCTATTCAAGATTCGAAAGTGAAGGTAGAATTTTTTGTGATCTTTATAGTGATGTAGATCCAAAAGTATATTCAAAATGTGGTTGGAATTCATATCCTGCAACATCTTTAAAAGTAGATTTATCAAATACCGAAAAGAATTCAAAGTTTATCAAACAAGATTACACTTTACAAGAAGCCAATTCAAGAAAGATAACTGAGGAGAATATTGGAATGGTTTTAGAAAAAGATATCGAAACTACACAAAAGGAATTAATAGAATTTGTAAATAGTGATAGAAATACCAATAGCTTTGCATTCACAAAATTATTTACAACTACCGAATTTTATTGGGAAATATCTCAATCTAAAGTTTATGCAACTTCTTTAAACATCAACACACCAACTACATACGGTCATGTTATTTTCAATACTAAAGATGGAAGTGTTCAAAGTTATATTGTCTGGTCTCTCGATTTTAGAGCATCTGAACTCAAAGTTTTAAAATTGGTTGCTCAATCCGAAATAGAATTTAAATTTTTAATCAAAAAAGCTTATGAACAAGCTTTAGAATATAACTTCAAATATATCTATTCTTGGTGGTGCGAATCTACAAGCAAATTTAACAAAGCTTTCGTCGAATCCATTGGTTATGAAATTATAATTAGAGACGGTTCAATTCCTATGGTTTGCTCTTGGATCAAAGATAATAATACAAATCAATTATTAGACCAATCAAAAGGTATTTGGATAAATGTTGAAAAGTTTGGTTGGGTTTAAATAAATAAATAAATAAATAAATAAATAAATGGTTTTTATTTTTTTTTGTTTATTATTACTTTGATCTATAATTTTATTATACTTATAAAATAATAGATTAATTATTTGAATATAGTGGGTTAACACCATTTGAATCTGGGTTAACTTCATATAATGGGTTTGAATTTGAAGCGGCCATTTTATTTGCTTGTGAGTCTTTCCAATAGTCATAGCCTTTTTTACCTGCAAAAATAGCAGCACCCAATGCAACAGCACCAGCTACAACTACACCAGCTACAACGGCAGTTGATATTACTATAGCAGTTCTACAAACAAATGGTTGGGGATCGTAATCCACTGAAACACATTTACCTGGTTCGGTTTCAGTAGCATTGTAACATACACCACTTTGACATCTACCATCATCGGCAGCACATCTCTTATCGAATGTAATACATCCAAACTGTTCATCACATTCTGATTCTCTACAAAAAGCTGTTGAATTACATTCTCTCTTTTTAAGTTGACAACCTAATTTCTTATCACAATAACCAACTTGACATCTTCCTTCATTAGGACAAACGAGATCTGTAGAATTACAACCTTTAACACTATCGCAAGTATATAATTTACATTTATCGCCAAGATTGCAATGAGTAGATGCTTTATAAGAACATTCACCATGAGAAGGTTTTGATGAGGAAATTATACAAGTATCAGCTGAGCATTGGTTTCCATCGTCACAAAGTATATTATCAGCAGTACATTTACCAGTTGTTGGACTACATACACTACAGCCAGTACATACAATTGGAACATTTTTGATATTACCGGTAGCAAGATCGCATGAATCTATGGTACAAAGATTACCATCATCAACGGTTTTGTTTTGACCGAAGCATCCACCAGTTGCCTTATCACAAACACCTATTTGACATTTATTTACTTTATCTGCTGAGCATCTGTCTCTACAACAATCGTTACCGGATGTTTCAGTATAGCTACATTGACCTACGCTTGGGTTGCATGATGGAACCTTACATGGATTGGAGGTATCGCATTTATAAGTTTTTTGACAACCTTTGCTTGAACAAGAATAAGTATAGCACTTATCCTCTTTACCGCCATCTAATTCATTAATACAGTCGGTACTTGTTTTTTCTACACATACACCATTATTACATTTGCTAGAATGACAAATTTGGTCACACTTTGTTTTATATTGGCAACCAAGACTGAAATCGCAACCTTCACTTATTTTACACTGTGAGGATAAATCAGCACAATTTGTGGTATTTGTAATAAACCATTCACCATTCTTACATGTTCTTTCATTACATTTATCTCCATCTAATGGATTTTTTATATCTACATGTTCACAATAAAAAGAAATTCCTAGAGCTGTATCTATTGAGGTATCTGGAGTAGGGCAAGCATCAATTGTACATAGATCATTATCATCGCAATGAGATTTAGCATTACAACATGTTGAACCATCGCCATTACAAACCTAATATAAAATAATATAAATTTTATTATTATTTTTTTTAATATAGCTTAAATAATATAATATCATACCCCACAATAATCTATTACAGGACAGAATAGTTCTATTGAAGTTGAAATTTTTATTGTTGATTTTGTTGTGTGTCTTTCGCAATAGTAAAAGTCAAATGAATAAGTTTTGCCTTTTATCAATGTAATATTATCAAGGTTATATAAATAAATTTTCTTTTGCGATGCTTCATGAACACCTCCTAAATCAACAACTAGTTTATTATCAATAAATACCCAAACCTAAAAATTAAAAAAAAAAATTTCTATTAAAATTAAAATAAACAATTTATAGATTATTAAAATTAAATCTTACATCATCATCACCTATGAAGTCAAATACTTCAAACCCTTGATATGTGAATTTGCTGTTTATTTTTAAACAAAAATGAAAATTGTGATATGTTTTTGTATCGTTTTTATAAATTCTATATTTGGTATTGACATCGAAACCTTTATAATCGACTAATAATGAAATAATTAGTAAATAGTATTATATATTAAATAATTTAATAAATTGCTTACTTGGGAAGAAATATTGATTATTATATTGGAATATTCCATTTTCATCTAATTCGAAAACTATGTCATATGAAATTGGTTTGTTATATCCACAGTTTTCCTCATATTCTACATCTGTGAACATTTCACCCATTCTTGGTGGAGGATTGGATCTAAAAAAGAAATCAAATAGATTGGGAACCAGAATTCTACCCTCTGTATTAACAAGAGTATCTCTTGAATTACTATTTAGTTCTGGGATTTTATTCGATGCTAGAGTAGATTTAACCATATTTAAAGTGAGGTTGCCATCAGGTGGTTGAAAATTTCTATTGAAATATGGATATTGATCGAATATCTGTGCATTAAGAATTAGGGTTTTGCTTTTCTCTACTTTTTAAACAAAAATAAAATATTAATAATTTAAATTCTTATTTATTATAATAAATATAATTATATATTTTTTACCTGTACAATAAATTACTGAGGCAAAAGATGTTAAAATAAGGAATAATAATAAAGTTTTCATCTTTATTTGTTTGTTATCTTTGTTTATTTGTCAATAAAATATAGTGAAATAAAATTTTTTTTTTTATTAAAACAAAAAAAATTAAAAATATATAATTTAAAAAGTTAAATAAACATAGTTCTTCCTTTGATTTTAAATATAAACTAAATAAAATATAATTTTTAAAATAAAAATTTATTATTAAATATCTTTATTTATTTACAATGATTTATTTTATTTTAAAATAACACTCACTCTTTAAAATGAAATCAGGGGTTCAAAAAATGTTTTTAATATTAAAAAATATTTTTTAGTTAAATAAATAAATATTATTATAAAAAAAAAAAAGAATAAAGTTTTTGATTATTTTTAAAATTTTTAAAATTTTATTAAGATTTTTAAATAAATATATATATATAATTATAAATTGGTTTAATAGTTAAAAATTGTTATATTGAGTTTTTTTTTTTTTTTTTTTTTTTTTAAAAAAAAAGTATATTATATTAGAATTTGATTAATTAATATTACCCTTGATTAGCGTAAAGAGGATTTTCACCACCATTTGGATTGGCTTCATATAATGGATTTGAATTTGAGGCACTCATTTTAGTTGCTTGTGAGTCTTTCCAATAGTCATAACCTTTTTTACCTGCAAAAATAGCAGCACCCAAAGCAACAGCACCAGCTACAACTACACCAGCTACAACAGCAGTTGATACAACAGCGGCAGTTTTACAAATAAATGGTTGTGGGTCGTAATCTACTGAAACACATTTACCTGGTTCGGTTTCAGTAGCATTGTAACATACACCACTTTGACATCTACTATTACCGGCAGCACATCTCTTATCGAATGTAATACATCCAAACTGTTCATCACATTCTGATACTAAACAGAAGGCTGTTGAATTACATTCTCTCTTTTTAAGTTGACAACCTAATTTCTTATCACAATAACCAACTTGACATTTTCCTTTATCTGGACAAACGAGATCTGTAGAATTACAACCTTTAACACTATCGCAAGTATATAATTTACATTTATCGCCGAGATCGCAGTGATTTGATGGTGTAATTGAACATTCACCATGAGAAGGTTTTGATGGGGAAATTATACAAGTGTCAGTTGAGCATTGGTTTCCATCATCACAACGATCGTGGTTTGGAGCACATTTGCCAGTTGCTGGACTACATATGCTACAACCAGTACATTCAACTGGAACATGAATTTCATCACCAGTAGCAAGATCGCAAGAATCTATGGTACAAAGATTACCATCATCAACGGTTTTGTTTTGACCGAAGCATCCACCAGTTGCCTTATCACAAACACCTATTTGACATTTATTTACTTTATCAGCAGTACACTTTTCACTGCAACATTCGTTACCGGATGTTTCAGCATAGTTACATACGCCTACGCTTGGGTTGCACGATGGAACCTTACATGGATTGGAGGTATCGCATTTATAAGTTTTTTGACAACCTTTACTTGTACAAATATAATTATAGCACTTATCCTCTTTACCGCCATCTAATTCATTAATACAGTCGGTACTTGTTTTTTCTACACATACACCATTGTTACATTTGCTAGTATGACAAATTTGGTCACAATTTGTTCTATATTTACAACCAAGACTGAAATCGCAACCTTCACTTGTTTTACATTGAGATGATAAATCTTGACATTTTGTGGTATTTGTAACAATCCAGTTACCATTCTTACATGTTCTTTCATTACATTTATCACCTTCGAGTGGATTATCGATAAGAATGTGGTCACAATAAAATGATAAACCGAGACTTGGATCAACAGGGGTATCTGGAGTAGGACACTTATCAATTGTGCATAGATCATTATCATTGCAAGTTGTATGATCGTTACAGCATGTTGAACCATCACCATTACATACTTTACAGTAGTCAGTAACTGGACAGAACAATTCTATTGAGTTTGATATTTTAATTGTAGATTGAGTGGTATGTCTTTCGCAATAGAAAAAGTCAAATTGATAAATTTGATTTATTGTCAAACCTAAAGAATCTAATTGAATGCTCTTTGATTCTCTTTGATGGAGACCCCCGAGATCGACAACTAACTTACTATCGATATATACCCAGACCTATTTAAAAGAAATTATTAGATTAATAAATAGAAATTAAATAAAATAATAAAAATTTTATACTTACATCATCATCACCAACAAAATCAAAAACTTCACCACCTTGATATGTGAATCTACTATTAATCTTTAAGCAGAAATGGAAGTTGTGGTAGGTAGTTGAATCATTTTTATAGATTCTGTATTTATTGAGAGCGTCAAAACCTTTGTAATCAACTATGGTTTTGTAAAAAAAAAAAAAAAATTAGTATAAAAAAAAAATTTAAGAAAATTTAAGATTTAAAAAATTACTTACTTGGGAAGAAATATTGATTGTTATATTGGTAAATACCTTTCTCATCCAAAGTTAACACCAAATCATATGGAACTGGGGAGTTGTAACCGCTTTTAGCTGGGAAAAAATCATAATTACTTTCGTCTTTTGATGGAACTGGGTTTTTATCAAAAAAGTATTTAAATAAAGCTGGATTTATAATTTTACCATTTTTATTTACATTGACATTTGCTGATTCACTATTTAGTTCTGGGATTTTGGAGGATGGTAAGATTGTTTTAACGATTTTTTGAGTTAGGACACCATTATCTGGTTCAAAATTGTCATTATAATATGGGAATTGATCAAAGATCTGTGCACTGAGTGTAAGTGTTTTGCTTTTTTCTGTATATATAAAAATTAAAAGAAAATTAAAGTATGATTAGTATTTAAATTTTAGATTTTTAAACTTTCACAAAACAAAAAATATGATCAGGTATTTACCATTGGCGCCATATACAATTGATATAAATATAATAAAAAATAAAAATGTGAAAGTCTTTTTTGATATGATTTCCATTTTTATTATTTATTATTTATTGTTAGTTGGTTATTTTTTTTTTTTTTTTTTTTTTTATTTAAACTTTTTTTTTTTTTTTACAAATCAAATTATAAATAATGTATACAAATAATAAAAACACAAATAAATAAATAAATAAATAAAATAAGTATAGAAAACTATAAAATTATTTAAATAATATTATTACAACAATATAAATAAAAAAATAAAAGAAACAAATTTGTTTTTTAAATAGAATTTATTGGTCATTATTTTCTGTATATTTCTCTAAAAAAAAATAAAAATTATTATAAAATATATAAAAATAAATAGTGAGAATTAAAAATAGCCTCACATGTGATATCCACACAAACACCCTCTTAACTTTTAACTTACATCAAACACCCTAACACAAACACACAAATCCTCACATATACAAAAACATACAATAAACACACACGCACACATACACACACTCACTCACACAGTCATTCACACAAATAAATCTTTTAGTCACATTAACACATGCACTTACCCAAACAAATACACACACCACTGCACCCTAATTTAAAACATATTTTTTTTCAATTTCCAAAAAAAATTTATAAAAACAAAAAAAATTAAAAAAAAAAAAAAAAATTTTAAAAAAATAAAAAAACCCACTCTTTAATGCATAAATAAATATATAATTTTTTGAAAATGATTGAAACATGTGTTCAGATTTAAATCCTAAATTCAATAAAAGTAACTTTGCAAATCAATTTTCAATCTCTTTATTTTCATTTTTTTTTATCAATATAATTATTATAAATATAAATTCTATTTTTAAATATAAAAAAAATTTCATATATAAAAAAACTCCATATAATTTTTTTTTTCATTTAACACCCAATAAAAATTGGTTTTATTTTTGTTTATTTATTTATACCCTTTTTAACAAAATAATCTTTGGAATTATGATTTGTAGGTGATTATATGAATAACAATATTAATAAATTAAAAAAAAAAATAGAAAAAGGAAGGGGTTTTTTTGTTGTTAAAAATTTTATTGGATTTATAATAAATAATTTTAAAAAATTGATTCAATCATATTAATTTTAATTTTTTCGATTAACAAAACAGCTAGTCATCATGATGGAAGAAAGATTTAATATATAATATAAAAATTCAGTTCAAAAAAATAATTACCCCACCCAAAATTTCAAAATATACATCGTTAAATAATTCAATAACCTGAATATCAGAGATTTCTTTTTTCTATACCCTTTTTAAGTTGTTTAAAAGTTGAAATTTTCTTTAAAAATAAAGATATAAAATACACAGGAATGAAACAGAGAAGATAAAAAGAAAAGGAAAAAACCAACCAATAATTAAAAAAAAAAAAAAAAAAGTTTATCATTTTAAACTCTTTCATAAATTTATAATGAGTTTTATTTGATAAACTATTTAGTAGTTACGAAATAAAAGAAATTTATAAAGCTTATATTTTTTTTTTAAAAAAGGTTTTATTTTTTATGTAAAATTAAATAAATATTTTGAAAATATTATTTTTTTTAATTATTTTTTTTTTATGTTATTTTTTATATCTTTTTTTTTATATTATCTTTTTTTTTCTAATATTTTTTTTTTTTTTTTTTGTTTATCTAAAATTTTTTAAGTATTACACAATAATATTATAAAAGGTTTAAAATTTTACCAATCAATGTTATCCTTGATTAGCGTAAAGAGGATTTTCACCACCTGATGGATTGGCTTCATATAATGGATTTGAATTTGAAGCGGTCATTTTAGTGGCTTGTGAGTCTTTCCAGTAATCATAACCTTTTTTACCTGCAAAAATAGCAGCACCCAAAGCAACAGCACCAGCTACAACTACACCAGCTACAACTGCAGTTGATACCACAGCGGCAGTTTTACAAATAAATGGTTTTGGATCATAGTCTTTTGAAACACATTTACCTTTTTCGGTGGCAGTGGCATTGATACAAATAGCCTCTTGACATCTACTATTATCAGCGGCACATCTCTTTGGGTATGTTATACAACCGAATTTTTCATCACATTCAGCTTCCAAACAGAAAGCAGAAGAGGTACATTCTCTCTTTTTATAGACGCAACCGAGTTTTTCATCACAATAACCAACTTGACATTTTCCTTTATCTGGGCAAATGAGAGCGGTAGAATTACAACCCTTTTCCATATCGCAAGTATATACTTTACATTTACTTCCACCATCACATTTAGTAGTTGGTTTTTTGTTACAAACACCATTGGTAGCACTCTTTGGATCAGCAGAGCATTTTTCATCGGTACATGGGTTACCATCTTCACATAATGAATCTTTTGGAATACAACCACCAGTCTTTGGATCACAAGTCATACAACCAGTACATTTATTGATGAGAGTATGAGTAACATTACCATTGTTTGGATCACATTGATCGATTGTACAAAGATTTCCGTCATCAATGGATGTTAAATTCTTGGCAATACATGAACCATCTGCTTTGTTACATTCACCATATTGACATTTGTTTAAGTTACATTTATCTTTACAACAATCATTTCCACTAAGAGTTTCGTTTTCGCATTTACCACTTGAAGCATTGCATGTTATGATTTCACATGGATTATCTGATTTCTTGCATTTTGGTTCTTTGACACAACCACTATTTGCGTTACATGAATAAATGAAACATGGATCAGCTTTACCATCTAATTCAGCAGCACAATCGCTTTCAGTTTTAGTAATACATTTGCCACCAACACATTTGTTTGGAACACTACATCTATCAACACAGATATTTGAATACATACAACCATTATTGTTATCACATGGTTCAGTTTTCTTACATTCATTTGATTTGTCTGGGCAAGATGTAAAGTTTTGGGTCCATTGGCCTGTCTTTGGATTACATTCACCATGATAACATTTACTACCACTAAATGGGTCTGGTTGTGGCATATGGTTACAATATGAATTAAATGGAAGAGATGGATCAATTGTAATATCTACTGGTGGACATGAATCAATTGTACATAAATTGTTATCGTTACAATTGGTTATTGGATTACAACAAGTAGCACCATCACCATTACAAACCTAAATTTAAAAAAAAAAAAAATATTAATATTTATTAAATAAACTATTAAAATATTTAATACATACACCACAGTAATCTAATTTTGCACAGAATAATTCAATTGATGTTTCAATTCTAATAGTTGATTTAGAAGTATGTCTTTCACAATAGAAAAAGTCAAAAGTATAAACTTTTCCTTTAACCAAACCCAAAGTTGTTAAATCAACATTACCACTTTCGGCTTCATGAAGACCACCAAGATCTACTACTAATTTACCATCAATAAATACCCAAACCTTAATTTATAAATTTATAAAGTTTAAATATTAGTAATTTTTTATTTTTTTTTTTTAAATTTTTTATTTTTACTTACATCATCATCACCAATAAAATTAAATACTTCGTTACCTTGATATGTAAACTTATTATTCATTTTTAAACAAAAATGATAATTGTGGTATGGTTGTGTAGGTTTTTCAAAATCTTTATAAATACGGAAAGTAGCATTTTGATCGAAACCTTTGAAATCAACTAGTTATTGTAAAAATAAATTTTATTAGGATCTTTAATAAAAATTCGATTATACAAATATAAATGTTTACTTACTTGGGAAAAAGTTTTGATTATCATAAATATATACACCATTCTTTTCATCATAATTTAAAGTTAAATCCATTGTTAATGGATAATTTAAACCAGAGTCGTCAGAAAGGTCAGAAGTTTGATGTGGTGAAAAGAAATATGGGAAATTTTTTGGGGAAAGGATTCTGCCATCTACATTGACTTGCATATTTGGTGATGGATAATTTAATTCTGGGATAACATTTAAATTCTTTTTAACTATATTCTTAGTTAATTTACCATTTTCAGGTTCAAAATTTTTATTATATTTGGGAAATTGATCATAGATTTGAACATTAATTGTTTGTGTTGCTGCAATAATAAATTAAAAAAAATTTTAAAATTAATAATAAATTTATAAAAAAATAAATAAAAAAAAAATAGAAAAATATTTACCAGGTTTTGATTGACCATATACGCTATATATTAAAGAAAGTAAAGTTAACAATTTTAAACTATTTAATAACTTCATTTTTTGACTATATAAATTATATAATAAAGATTATATAAATTAAATAATTTGAAATTATAATTAATGATTTTTTTTTAAATAATGATCCTTTTTTTTTTTTTTTTTTTTTTTTCTTGACAAAAATATATTAATTAAAAAAAAAAAAATATTATTAAGAATAATTTAAATAAAGAATATAGAGGATTAAAAAATATTTTAAATTAAATTCTTAATCAAATAAAAAATAAAAAAAAAAAAAAAAAAAAACAATTTATTTAAATAATTTAAAATAAAAAATAAAATAATAATGATTATATTTGGGAATATAAATAAATATATAAGGCATTTTTAATTATTTAAAAAAGAATTATACAAATACACATACATACACATTAATTTATAAATTGGCTATATCTTATTAAATAATTAATTATTTCAAATTAAAAATAGCAAAACAGTGCAGATAGTGATAATAACAACAACCTAACATTAACCCACCCCTAGAAAATAAAAAAACAAATAAACAAATGTAGGTTGTTTCGATAACAATGATCGTGATGATATCCTTCTCAAAATATTTATTTTCCTCATTAAATTAAAATTTTAATTATGTATATTATGAAAAAAAAAAAAATCAACATGTATTTATATGGAATTGGTTGTTTCTTTATTGTTATTATTGCTGTTGGATATGTGTGTGAGTGGGTGTGGTGGTGGGGTTAAGTTTAATAATTTTTTGAGTAGTAGTATATGTAAAAATAGTTAAATTGAGGGGATAAATATGATACTAAAAGTTATTTTCTCTCACATATCTAATAATTTTACAAAGATGGCACTCTATAATTAAAAATCAATTTGAAACTATTTAACTACATGTATAAATATGTTAGTTTATATGTTGTATATTATATAAAAAAAAAACATGAAATTTAATTACCCCCATCTAATGTCTAATATTTGATTTTTTTGACAAAGAGAAATAAAATGGGGAGTGGGTTAAGGAAAAAAAAAAAACAAATGGATTATTGGTGGTGTTACTAATTGGTGTAATATAAACATTTTTTTAATTTTGATTTTAATATAATATGTTATTATATAAAATATAGATTATAAAAACATGCCAATTTATTATAAGAAAAAAATAAAAACATTTTTAATATAAATTAAATTAAATTTAATTTAATTTCACACACACAAAATACCCCTGCCTTAAAATCCACACTCACCCACTCCCACACAAAGTATAATTCAAATCTCGATTTAAATAATAAAAATTAAAAAAAAAAGTGTGTGTACTTATGTGTGTATATATTAATAGATTTATTTAAATATATAAATAATTTTTTTATTTTCAAATTTAAAAAACATGTGTTATATTGCTAACGTTTTCTAACTGAATTGTAATAATAAAAGTAAAATAATTTAAAAAAAAATATAATGTACACATATTAAATGTCCTTTGATATACCAAAATTCTATCAAGATCAATTCCTATATGACAAATATTAAAATAATATCAAATTAAGATAATATGTATTTAATTTAATAAAAATATTTTTAACGAATTGGGGGGAAAGTAATAAAATTTAATTTTTTTCAAACAAATAATTTGTTTTCTAATTTTATTAATTTTATATTTTTTGAATTTGATATTTCTAATTATATTTAAAATAGGATACTAGTCATTCTATCAATGATAAATAATAAACAAATTACTTATCTATAATTAGATCTTTTTTTCTCAAATGGTGCAATTAAAAATATGATTTTTTTAACAATAAATATAAAATTTTTTAAAACAAATCCTTTTTTAAACTATTTTTTTTATGAAAAATAGTAATTATGATAATAAAAATAACAATAATTAAACAATTTTATTTTTTTGATTTTGATTTATTAATTAATGATTATTAATTTTATTAATTTTATTAATTTTATTAATTTTATTAATTTTATTATTATTATTAAAAGATTTATAATTTTGATTTATTTTTTTCTTGTTTAATTTTTTTTTAGAAAATTCTCTATAATTTATAAAAAAAAATTTTATTATTTTATTCAAATCAAAGATCCATTTTTAAAAAAAAACAAAAAGATAAAAATAGAGATTTAAAATAAATTAATTAATTAAAAAAATTTAAAATTATAAAATTTGGTGTAAATTGAAAATAAAGAATTCTTTATTTTTAAAAAAATGATAATAATACATTTAGGTGATTATAAATAAAAATTGTATGTTGTTAGAAAAAAATTAATTGAAAAAGATGGAAGAAAAAAAAAAAAAAAAAAGATTAGATAATAGATTATTTTTCTAGATTTAAAGGAATAAATCAATTGGTTTTTCTTTTCTTTTAAAATAAAAAGAAAAAAAAAAAGATTTAATCTAGATGGTGTGAATCTATTACGTTTTTGATTTTTTTTCTTTTTGTTTTTTGCTTTTTTTGATTTTTTTCTTTCCTTTTTTTCTTTTTAGTTTTTTCTTGATATAATTTTAGTTTAAACTTTTAAACCTAATGAGATTTGGATACCTCCTAGAACAAGCTTGTCATCATCTACACAACCGCATTTGCATTTATCATTTTTAACTCTTTTAACACCACACATACCGGTAAAGCAATCACAAACTGGGGCTAGGCATGGGTTTGGACCTTGTTTGCATTTATCCTCTTTAACACAACCTTTAACTGGATCACATGAGTAAATCTTGCATTTATCAATCTTGTGACCATCTAATTCTTTAGCACAATCCATTGAGGTCTTTTTGATACAAGCAGTGCTATTACATGGTTTTGGGAGTTCACAAATACCGCATCCTTTTGGTTCTTCATATTGACATCCGACTGCTGGATCACAACCAACTAATCTCCAACCTTCTTCATTAAGTTCTGGGCATTTGGTGTAGTTTGGAGTATATTTACCATCTAATGGATTACAAACACCTTTAATACATTTATTACCTGCCCATGGATCTGGAATGGTTACGTGTTCACAATATGTATCTAATGGGAATGCTGGATCAACTGGAGTGTATGGTGGTGGACATGAATCAACTGTGCATAAATCGTGATCATCACAATAACTTTTAGTGCAACATGTGCTACCATCACCATTACAAACCTAAAATAACAATAAAAATATAATTAATATTTATTAAAACTATAAAATTTTATATATAATTTAAACTATATATAAATTATTAATTATTTTTATTATTATTAATTTAAATCGATATTTACGCCACAATAATCTACTTTACCACTACAAGTTGTGGAATTTACAAATTTTGTAAATATAATAAATAATAAAATAAATGATATATATTTAAATGACATGTTTTAAATATAACAATTATTAATACAAATAATTAATAGTAAATAATATATTTTTAAAAAAAAAAAACTCTTATTTATATTATTTTAGAAAAAAAAAAAAAAATTAAATAATTAAAAAAAAATAATTAATCAAATAATTAAAAAAAAGAAAAAAACATTTATATATAACCGAATTTATCTTTTATTTTGTGATTAATTGTTGTATATTATATAGAGTAAATATTTTTTTTATTGGGGTTCCTAAAGTTATTATAATAACGTTTAATCATAAAATTTACATTTCATTTTCTTTTTAATTATTATTGTTATTATTTTATTCTCTTTATAATATATATATTAATACCCTAAAATTTTATAATAATCTATTACCACACACATACACTCTCTCTAGAATAATC